CAAATAAAATAAGCCAGAAACACTTTGTATTTTATATAGGTCTTTTTCTCATGCCGGATATTATTGATTTTTTAAAAATATCTTTTTTTATCTTCTTTCCTACCAGTGGATAAAACTATGCATAAATCCCCCTGGCTAGATGTTTACATTTTGGAATTTAATTTTTATGAGGCTTATGTCATTAAAGGAAGGAAGGAAGGAATAAACAACAAACAAACGACACATGAAAAATAAAACCAAAATACTAGACAAAGAATAAAACCAATGATAAAAACCACTCAAAGAAATTTCCCAAAGCAAAAAAAAAAACCAAACAAACAAAAAACAAAAATTAAGAACAGTTAAGAATAATCTTTTCCAATTAAGAATAATCTAAAATCTAGTCATTAAGAATAATCTAAAAAGTTCCTTTTTAGATTATTCTTAATTATTAGATTTTTAGATTATTCTTAACTGGAAAAGATTAGATATTAAAGTTATATAACCGCCAAAGCAGTTCAAAGCTTTATCAGGCCATGGCAATTGCCAACTTTTGAAAACATTATTAGCCTCCAAAGCCTCATTAATTCCCACTAATTTTGGTTTTCTTAGAGCTGTTCAGAAAGCTGTCAGATTAACCCTTTCACCCCCCAAACGGATCTTCAGGGCACAGAGAAAAGCAACTAGACCATTTTATTCACCTATTCAGCCTTTTGCCTGTTGTTCATTTACTTGTGATCTCACCCAGGGCATCAAGAGAATGCCATCTTAGCTACTGAGATCTGATACCTGACGGTGTGTCTCTGAAGCCACCTCAGAAAAAGGCTGGTGGTTCCTTTGCTCTTTCTTCCAAATTAAGAGTGTGAAGACACAAAATGGTACCCAAGAACAACAAGGATGATGACCTGCCAATGATTCAGCATTGCATCTTGTAAAGTGGTGGGAGAAATTTTATGGAGACGGTATTGTTGTTGTTTTATAACTAATCTTGCCCCATTGTAAGGTAAAGTGTGTGTGTGTGTGTGTGTGCGCGCGCGCTTTCATAACCCAGAACCATTTCCACACAGATCTAAACAAAGCCCAGGACTTCTGTAAACTCCATTTTAGAATACTTACCTGTTGCTTTTAACACATTCTCAAATTGACAGTGAACGGCCATTTATTTCCTGTGCTTGGTTGCTGGCGGAAATCATACTGGATCAATGGAAATGCATTTAAATGCTTCATGATTTGGCAGCCTGGGACTACCCATCTTACTGAAAGAGGTGGTGGGAGTGTTGATGGCATGCCTTTCATCAATAACCCCTTTCCTGGTAAAACCCTGCCACATCTCAAAAAGTAATACCGTAGTAGTCTAATAAGACCTCTGCAGTCCAAAAATCACACTGTACCATATGTAAGTCAGAATGTACTGTTAGATCTTGGGGAAAGTTTTTTTATAATCTTGCATGGTGCCTCTAATAGCTGTGGCTGTAGGGATCTTTCTGGACAGGGGTGATTCTCAATCTATCCAGCATTAACCAACTGTTCCGAAGTTTTTTTATAATCTTGCATGCTGCC